GTTTTAATGCCGCCGGACATCATCGTCTTCTAATATTCAGGTGTGGGGTCAAGAATATCGTCTCGTAATCATATCATCAATTGCAATTGTTTACAAAAAAGTATAACATACTACTGAAAAACCAGTTGATTCCTACTTTATTATTATATGCATTATTCACGCATAAAACGTGTACCTGCTTTATATATGCCACACCCCTACTTTTTTGGCTTGGAAATTTTGGAAAAAAAGGGTGGCTTATACATGGGGAAATATGGTAATTTAAGTTTACTTTGTAATGCCCCTAAAAATGATTTCTCATCCATTTTAAATTGAAGAATAACGCAATTCATTAACACTTAGGTGGACCTTTTTTGTATACCAAAGACAATGTGAATCGACTTTCAATTTTGATGTAAAAACTGGTTTGAAGGAATTCGGGAACTTGAAGATTGCCTTTAAAATGATAACGTTTGAAGGTCAATGTACATGCTTAAACTTGACTCGAATCTGACTATAACCACATGCATGTTTGTGTGTATGTGTGTGTGTGTGTGTGTGTGTGTGTGTGAGTGTTAGGGTGTAAATGGGCACAGGAAAAGCCGGGTCAAGTAATGTTCTTTTGTGTAATCGCGCTCACCTTTTGTACGACCCACACACTCGAGATGTTGAGTAACTGACGCAGCTAATCTAGAACCAGTATTTGCGACAACCATAACCCCCGGCAATATATTTCTGATTCAACAGGCCATTCGCGAGTCTTGCAAGTCCTCCTCCGATTAGTCAGTAGTCACCCCTCTTATGCGTCCATCCAGGTTGCCGGGTTGATAATGTTCATTGACTCAGGCCCGTTGCGGTGACCCTGGTAATCCGATTAGCCTCGCCGTGAATTGGCCCGCTGGCCGACATATTTCAGTTGCTTCGATTTAGAGACCAATGGAGTCCGACCATTCTGCCGCAAGTGACTTATAGTAGCTAACCCGCTTTTCATGTCATACTTATCCTGCTTCGCCTACAGTCCGACTCGCCACGTAGCCCATATCGCCACGGTGACCCGTTTAATTAATTCATCCGCATCCGCTCAAGCAGATGTCCATGTCATCGGTCCGAGACCAGATGCAATGACTTTCATTTTTCGCTCTAACGCAGGACTACATCACTCCGAATGGTCGGCTTGAATAAAACGAATCAAACTCGTCTGACACAAGTCGCTAGCCACATATTGTTCTCATAACTCTAGTCCAATATCCTAGCCTAGTGACAAGCCACCACTTCGTAACTGAGTGGTGAGCAGCCATAAGGGTGCAATTGATTTTGTGAGCATGGAATTTCCTTTAATGAAAGTTAAAAAAGCTCGTCATGACTTATCAATCATTCTACTCATAAACAGTAGCTTGAGGTAAAACATCCCACCCTTGACCTACCCTATTGTTTGGGGATAGTAGAATTAAAGCAATGCCAAGGGAAAAAAGCCGACATGGTAAAGATTATAGTTTCAACGGTTACTCAGCAAAACTTTGGACCCGAAATTCATAAAAAAATGAAATCTCCCTTAATTCAACAGAATTCATTGTTTTACTTTTAATATTAAATGACAGTATAATAATTTTTTTCCATACTTTATCTAAAACCCTAGATGTTATTTCCCAATGTTTGACCGTGAAATTGGTACATTTCGAGACTTTTCTCCGGATTCGTAGTCGGCATCTTCATTGAGTGTTTCCATTCTCTGCACCAAACTACAACTCATGTTTGTACAAAGAGATAAGAACCAACTTTCGGCAGAAAATTAGTTAAAAGATTAACTTCACGTGTATATTTGTCAAGCTGTAGCTTGGGGCCGAGTATGGCAAGACTCATTGAGGATGCTGACTATGATGCCGACGAAACGTCTATGAATGTACCAAGTCCACGGACCAACGCTAGGAATTTTCGTAGCTACTACATCATAAGATCTCGGACTATGTGTTTGCAACTAGGTCGTCCTGAGTACACGATCCAATTGCGAAAACGATGTCAGGTCACCTTTATAGGGCAGGGGACTGCGACCCAAACAGAGGTCACACTATTTTGGTCTTCAATTGTACCATAAAAGCAAATATTTCTACATCGACTCTTCTCTAGCTTCACCCAGTGGCAATTTCTACTCTCACCTCGAGCTAGCTTTGGTCTCATCGAACCTACAGACGGGATCCTAAAACACGGAGGTATAGATACAAAGTCAAACTTTCTTGACATTTATAGAAGCATTTATAAGCAAGACAAGTATGAATTTAGAGGAAAATTATGCCTGTTTCAATTTGGTTGTATAGGTCTCCTTGTATCTGTGTGTTCTATGGTGTCAGCAATAAGTTTATCTTACACAGCTTCAA